TCTACCGGCGAACGATTACTGTACATTATATATTTATTATAATTATTTCAACTTCCAAATTGATAACTTTTCATCCATAGACCCGACGATTAATCGATCCTCGCCATTCACTTTGCTCCATACCATCTGGGAGATCGTTTCCGTATGCAGGTCGAGGTAGAGTAGAATAGTCAGCTTCTGTACAGAAAAGGCCCGTATCGATCCATCCCAGAAACCGGCGATCAACGTCTTTCCAGACGTAGAAAACGCCATACTTCCAACACCACGTGAACTGGAAAGACGTATTGCACGATACACATTGAGATCTTAAGAATCAGGGCACGTCGTGTCGCAGGGAGCAATTTTTGCAAAATGCGACCCCCCCCATCAATGGGTCTTGGAGAGGGGACTAACGCGCACGGGACAAGAAACAATGAACATCAGCCCAAAATTTTTCAGACGCGAGATACACTACTCCTTCCGCGACGGATTGTGACCCTCGCTGGCGGATTCCCCAGCCGTACGACTGTGCCCATGTTAGGGAACACCATGCAGGTTTTTGACAGCTCGCTCAAAGTCGGGGTGATCGATTCCTGTCCACCTCCTCCCATAGTCATTCCGATCTGATCGCTACACAAGTATGACAGCAGGTTGTTTAAAGGCCAATTCCACAAGAGACGGACGGTGGGAAATGGCGCGTAGACAGCCAAGCCTATGCTCAAATCTTCATTATTTCCGCCTCTCATCCAGACCTGTTGGAAAAAGGGGAAAGACTAATGAAAAGTGCAACGACCTGCGGATCCCCCACGCGACCAGTGCGGAATGTGCATTGATGTTGCTGCCGTCCCTTCTTTTCTCCTTCGGTACTGCACGGTTATGCATGAGTCAAGTCTATACTTTTCAAGAACACGCCATTTCCCCTTGGCAAAAAGTGCCGTATGGGGTGAAAAAAAACGAACCATGGTCGATAGTTGAATTTCCTGCGATCGCCGACATAATTGTGACGTTGACAGGAAGGAGTACGATAGGCGGCTTCGATGATCCACATGCCACCGAGGACGACGACGATGCTACGCAGAAGATGGGCTCAGAGAACAGTGTGATACCTGTCAACGACTGAGAATTGAATGTGGAGGACTGTCTCTGTGGCAAGCTAATCTTCACTCAGAGTAGTAAGAATAAAGTCTTCGCCACTGATCACTCCTTTTAGAAATGCGCCATGCATTTGCTTTCATTCAGAATCGTAGTGGCATATTGAATGCGATAAGGCCACCACAACGCTTGCGGGGCCCTTCCGATGTGCAAGTCACTCCCTCCCACGAATTCGCTGTACAATTTTCGTCTCTTGGAGGGTAGAAGGGCTTTGGCCTGAGCACGAGCTGATTTGGCCACCGGAAAGCGCACGTGGTGAGCTTGCCACCTGTCGCTACAGCACCACCGCCTCATAAAAGAGCAGCATACAGCAATTACAAGTTGAGATATGGTGCGGTCCCCGAGTCTCACTTTTCAGTGCTTAACATCAGTGGGCCCAATATCGGCGCTTAAGGACGGGAGTGGGAGGAGGGAGAATTCTGAAAATCCCCTATTTATTTTGCTACTTCAGAGCATAAACGTTTTGCTTTGCTGACAACTGCTGCAGAATGGCACAAGTGAGCCATTTTGGTCACAGAAATTTACAGGTCTCCACAAGTTGGCTAGTATCGACCCGCTGAGCGCCATTTGTGCGCCCACCAAGCCAAACTGCATCCAGTTTTGATTCTCCTCAACCTAGTTGTGGAGTAACACAGTTCTACTTCCTTTCCCGGAGCGTTAGTTTTGATTTTGAATTCTTCGATGTCAAAGTTCTTCAGTCCTCAATGACATACCTCTTCCAAAACGCGTCCCTCATTAGAAATCCTTTGTAAAGTTCCTGCTTCGTCTCCCACAAAAATCGAATCTTCGGCAGAGGTGATTGAGAGAGGAAGAGCTTTTAAGGTGACGTCTCTTCGCACTTCGAGCGATCTCGACCAGAATCTCATGTAATGCTGTTCGTTCTAGAACATGTCGAGCTACATGTTCTGAGCTTCACATGGAAACAAACATCCACCGTTCCCAGTTCCAAAAAATCCACTTACTGTTGTGTCTGGGTAAACGAGCCATTCACCAATAGCAATCGTCCTACAGTAACCACAATGAGAAGTAGGCAATGTCACACAGGGAACACCATCGGCGCCAAGTATTATGACAGCATGATTTCGTACATGCAACCATAAACCATCACTCAGTTCTCCAACGGAAGAAACTGCTCGTTCTTCTTGGTCAACTGAAAGCGGAACCATTAGCAGGCAAACCTTGAGGCCGTGTTCATATTTCGTGACGTGAGCCGTGCGAATGTGAATGACTGCGCTCTACCGCTAGTGGTTGGACCGTCGCAACTGCCGCGCCAATCAGAATAGAGCGGTCGAATGGGGTTGCTGCGGTCCACAATTAGCTGTACAGCGTTTTATGCTGCGCGATTCCGCGCGAATGGAGCGCTCGAGTCGCGAAGTATGAACACAGCCTTGAGTTGTTCTAACAACGAATTGAAAAACAATTACCGTATACAGTCCGGATATGAATGTGCGTGTCGGGAATCGTATAATTCACATCGGCCTTTGCCAGTGCCAACCAAAATGCCAGAACCATTTGATGTACTGACAACTGCACATGAAGTCGCTCCACCTTCCAAGCCACGATGCACGAAAATCGGCTGTGGTGGAGGTCGTGACATCCTTTCTGAATCGAACTTCGGAGAACTTCTGGAATGGAGTGGATTGAGCTAATGTGACTTCTAGTTACGACGAAAACAAAACGCGAACCATGGAAGTGCTTACAGCCTTATCAGTCAGTCAAAGAGTCAGCGAGCGCCGATTTTTGTCGGGCCGCAATGCATAACTAGTATACAACCACTATTTCTAACTTGTGAACTCAATAGCCAACATTCTCACTCTCCCCCCCCGCCCCAACCCCTCCGCTCAGCCGCTTGAAGGCAGTTTGGGAAAGACGAAAAAGGTTTTTGCTCAAAGTTGGGGAAAAGTGTAGCGTTTGGTGGGAACGTAGGAAGAATTCAGGATGGGGAGGAGCTCGTACCATAACAGGAAACTTCTAGGCGGGGTCGTATTGACAATATCACGAGGCTTCAGGATATTTGTCGACTGCGAAGCCTTCCTACTCCTTCCTTTTTTCTTCTTTCTTTTCTTTCCCTCCTTGTCTCTTCCCTGTTCCTTATTTCCCTCCCTTCAAATGCTTGACCAGAAATTGCGATGAGAAAATCCCCTGAGCCCTAGCAGCTAGAATATATCCGGGATGACAGAAGCCCTGTAACTCCATTACGGATGCTGTACCCCGAATGCAACGCACCCAGAGTGGCTTTGTCTACCAACTGGTGCCCCAGAGTGGGAGAGGGCGAGAAACTGCCGTAGATGCGCTCCAACCCAAGCTCTATCCTTTCCAACAATTGATAGTGCGCATAACTGTCGCCCTTTGTCTCTCGAAACAAACTACGATCCCCTCCTTCAGCGACGAATACGACCCCCCCCCCTTGTGTAATACACGACGGATATTGTACTTTAGCTCCCACTTCCTGAAAATCGACCCCAAACAATAAAACAACATTATCGAAGAAATCTGCCCTCTAAGCACCAAAATCATACAACACATGCAGCAGTTAGGTATTTATTATTAATATAAGAACTATTTACAAACTCAAAAAAAGAAATCTACTGTCAACAAATTGATTCCATATTCAACAAGCTCACAACAGAAAAATCACCTAACCAAATGGAATTTTAGGAACAAAGTGTGGTAAATGTGAGCAGTAAAACAAACAAAAGCACAGACCACACTGGTCGTGCGAGCATGGTCAGGCCAGCAACCAGTGACAAAGATAGAATGGCCGGTCCGACTCCGCCCACATGGTCAAAGTGGACCCAGCCTTCAAGAACTTACAATAGTCTCTCGCTGCATCAAATGCGGCCACGTTACAGTGGTAGGGGAGCTATCGCAATAGGTTCGCTTCATCTATGTGGGCAACCAGCCCTCTGCCATAGGGGGGGGGGGTATTCGGGAAATCTTAGTAAAGAGAAGGAAATAGATGTAGCAACATCAGACATTATGATCCGATTGTTGCATCACCCTCCTGACATTTATAAGACCCCACTTAGTGCCTGGAATAAAGTAGCGTCCGCGTGCAAATGGCGTGACGCTTTTCACGCCATTTGCACGCGCTAACGTGTATGGTGTCTCTGCACCTGGTGGGAAGTCGGTGACGAGAGGCGCAGCCAGGCAGCTCCTTTCACCAACCTGTATGAGGGAGCAGGATGGCATCATAGGTTAAAGGCAACCCTGGCTACACTCCATTCCGCGCCGCCACCCTTGACTTCTCGTCTTCATCAGGAATAGACAGCACCCACACCAAACTGAGGTGCGGTTAGGAGATCCGAGTTGCGACAAAGCGGCGTTGTAGCTGGCGTTGCGCCATCCGCGTCGAAGGCATTGTCGTCTAGCCGGTATGTCCTTTCGAGGCATCGAAATATTCTCTCGCGAATCTCTGCCCGTGCATTCAGAGGGAGGAAAATGAAGTATTGGGAAGAGAAGCGGCAATTGTAAGAAATTAAAAGGGAAGGAGGAAAAGGAAGGAGAAGGGCAGGGCTGATTATCGTTGAGGGATTATCCGCAGAGCGCCATTGGCAGCATCTGATGAACTGCAGCGAAGACGAGATGCATTTCATCGCTGCGCGCCCTGATTTTGACTTCTAGAACACATCCCAGCTCACGGATCTCCTGGGCCACTCTTCAAAAAACCCCCTAACAGATCCGCCTTCTACCGCAACCTGCCAGCATTTCCTGATAACACGTCACGGCTTGTACCAACAAATTCTCTTACTAAGAAAATATAATTCTCAATAACAATATTAATACACGTATTTTGACAAAGAAAACAGATTTGATCAGAGATCTCTATCAACAATGAATCACATTCCTTTCGATTTCAAGGGATATGGTTACCTTGAATCCCGTTCACGTCGTTCTTTCTGAATTTAAAGATCAGCAGATGGGCGAAGGAAAAATACCTGCGAAAAAGAGGAATTCAAAGGCCATCGGCTTACGAATGCAGGAGTCGGGCTGTTGCCACCAAACGTATTGCGGTGCAGAGGCTGAGTGGTGTGTGGCGGGCGACGTGTCTCATGGCGAGCCGTCCACCAATGACACCGGCAACAACCCTAACAACCAATGACACTGCCTCCAGCAATCACGCCCACTGCCTCTGAACAAATCGAGGGTAGAACAACAGCAAATGAACAAACCGCTCTTTCTCGTTCCCTGTCACGATCACGTCGATCCAAACGTATACGCTCCTTATCTCTTTCACGATCTTTATCATCCTTTGTCTTGTCCTTCTTTTCATCTTGTCTTGATCATAGTCAATTATATCAGGCTAAATAGGAATAAAAACAACACCAGTAACAGAAACAACATCAACGACAGTTTCGTAATCGACTATTTTATTCTACCTGATATTCTTTTGCTGATGAGTAGACAATGTAGGGAGGAACTCTTTGAGCGCAGACAATGTCTCAGCTCGATTACTGTGGCTGAGGAACTCTTCAAATTCCTCCATATTGAACTTTGTCAAGATTGCCTGTGAAAACTCTGTTACTTGACAGCAATAATTTCAAAAAATATGGGGGAGTGTGGTAGGGAACTCCTATAATTATAAGGGGGATAAGGATCTTCGACAACTTATGGGGTTAGGACTGAACCATAAAGGCACCTTTGAAGTTCCCAAGCCCACTTTTCCCATCTACATCGGCATGGGTATTGGGTTGAAGCATGAAAGTTCTGTAGGCTTCCTTTGATCCACAGAGAAAAAAAAAGTAGAAGAAAACGACGAAAAGACCCTAGACAAGGTTCTCTTGTTAGGCAATAGAACGTAAATGCTGGTCTTCAGAGCACCAGATGGCTCCAAAGCAACACCAAAGGCGAGCGAGTGGGCAGGAGACTCCACCCCATAGAGGTGGGCATCACCATGCCAACTTCGCTAAATAGTGATGGATGTCCACCCCCACTGGGGGGAACTTCCGAACATGCCACAAACCCATAGGCGCACAGGGATTTCACCCACCAGCGGACTGGGAATGTTCTCTTGTGAGGCAGTTGGCACGATGGTTTCCTACTTAGCCTAAAATGCTAGTAGGGCGCTGTATAGTGGGGAAATGGCGAAAGAACGGAGTGAAACGGTCAAAATCCTGCGAAGAAAAAGCCTCCGTTCTCAGTGACTTGTAAATCGATTTCGGACGAGTTTCCCGTAGGCATCTTACCAATCACCGCTACGAAGATACGGCTGCATATGTGTACCCATTATATGCATGCCAGCATCACGACCACTTGCATAACCATTTCCTTTGCTTCATTTGCCTCAGCAAAGGATCAATTAGAGCGCCTGAACAGTCGTCCATTTGGGCTGCCGGGCGTGGCGGGCGTTCGGGACGTAAAGTTGTGGCTTGATAGGGCCCTTATAAGGGCACCTTCCTCGGAGGAAACGCTATGCAGCGCCTGCCCAGGGTCGCGGAATTCTATCCTGCCAGGAGTATTGATCCTAGTCGTCGATTTATCGCTAACGCCTTTAAATATGAATTTATCTAGGAACAGTTCTGTAGTTATCGTCCACATCGACGGAAAAATAGGCGTTCCGACGAAGGCTGCATGCTCGCGCGCCGACCCTCTCTTTCTTCCTGCCCCGCCCTTTTACCCTCGCCGCCCTCGTAACTCTGCCTCTTGTTGCTCTCAGATATGAGCCATAAGTCCTGCATTGTACTGCACCAGGGAAATAAATCCTGCATTGTACTGCATCAGGGAAATTATTTATTTTATAATGGTATTTATAATGGTGAGGATCGCATGGAGAAACCTTTACGAATAGTGCTAAAGGACATTCACGTACCGAATAGGCCACCGTTTTGAGATTGTTGAGGGCTCGATAAAATGCCTTTTTCGTGATTTCGTCACGGGATGAGAGATCCTTGGCGATTACCTTCTGCACAATGTTCCCAAGAAAGCTGTCCAACGACGGATACTGTAATGCGCAGCTTATTATAATTAAAATAAATATCGACAAAGCTTAGCAATACTACTGCTAAGTGCAAATGTACTACTTCTTACCTTTTTATACACAATCAATAAGGTGCAGTAAAAAAGAGCAGGAAGGGGGTTTAAATCCATCAATCGCTCAATACCATCTGCTACTGTCTCTCTAGTCATTGCACGTGCATCCATCAATTCCCGTAAATCTGGAAAATTACTCGATATTCGCTACAGTGAGTCTATTGGAACAGTTACTATCATGAACCCACTCGAAGACTGTACTTCAAACTCCTCAGGAGTTGACGGCTGAACCTTGTGGTACTCATAGATGAGATCTGGTATACTTAGCGTTGGTTCACCAGTGTCCATGTCTGAAATTCAATGAGATCGATGAAAATTGGCCCAAGAGCCTCTTGAAAATATTTCGAATTTTCCAAATCCCTATTCAATAGTGAAGTCAATCAACAGTATCAGCCTGAGTTGCCTTTCTATGATTTCATCATTGTGATTGACCATCAAATCTGACTGAATGACTATTATTCTTTTCTCTTCAAGGCCAGCGGCACCTTGACTAGAGGCAGGTGGTTATGACTGGAAAGGGCTGAGAGAGGTATGGCCAAACTCCCTCTCGCAGCCCTTCCCCGAATGACGTCGGGAGCAACCGCCCGCCTCCAGCCATCGTGCTCACTGCTAGAACTGTTTCAAGATTGATAAGTACTCTGCAGAAGACTTAAACTGTCTACAGTCTTGTTCGTTGCGGATCAAGGGCGTGACAGGCGAACGCGGCGCCAAACCCATCCCGCCCGACACGCCCCTTCATCTGCAATGAATAAGACTATATGGCTCACAATTTCAGCTCCCTGACAAACGAAAATAACTCACTTCTACCCGTAAGAAGTTTCTTGAAGACGAGACCGACAGAGTTTTGATAAGCCGCTTTCAGGATGAACTGCGGTAGGATTCTCACAATATCCTCCTTGAAAAAATATCCAATAAATAAAAGTTCATAACAGCAAGAAAACATTGTTCCGAGTAATCTCTACTCCATCGTTACACTAACACCAACCAACAACAGCAGCAAATAAGGAAATAGTATGAGGTATCAATATATGAAATGGGAAGCTCCAGCGACGAAAGTCCTCCAAAAAACCTACTACCCACCCTCTCGAGACCATTCAGAATCGGAATCAGTGATCGAACGTCAGTATTTCTCGTCTCGTGCAGCTTCTTCATCCGATCGACCACTTCCTTTGTGGCAGTATCTGAAAAAAAACTGCTAAAAATTTTATATAAGAATTCTTCTAGAAATAAGGAGCTGTCTCTCTTCTATGTGACCGACCGCTTAACCATGGTAACAATGAAACTCGAGGTGTCGGTCGAGAGATCCACATTGCGGCGACGCGTACAAACCAGGTAGTATTTGGGTGACGGGCGATACCCAAATACTACCTGGTTTGTACGCGTAGTCGTCATTTGGCACATCGTCCCGCGCGGCGGTGGGCGGCAAATTCTCGATGGACATCAGTTTGTCGATTGTAGCAGCAAAAATCATGGGAACTCAAGCGAGAGCAAGTTTCCAGTCCGAGTAGTATCAATATTTCCCGTCCTTTTACGTCCAAATGCTGCCGACCGGGCAGGATAACTCGTCTCCCGCTCGCTCGCAACGCCCAGCGTGGCATATTACGACGATCTCTTCACATAGCCATAATATTTCCCATTTAGTTCACTCGATATACTGACCCCTCGAATTGATTAGGTCTTGGTGCAAGCACGCGTGAACCAACGCCTTTTGCAATGTTGTTTTCCCGCGCCGCAACGCGGATCTCCCAAACGACATCTCAGAGGTCAACCTAAGTAGGGCCTACAACGTGATAGAGAAAGTAAACAAAACGTACAACAAACAACATCGCTATCTCACGTCTTTCAGTTAGCAAATGCACAACTCGTGCCACGAAGGACTCGGCTCCCACAGGACACTCCTCAATTAGTTGAAGCATGTCTTTGTTGTCCATTCCTATGGCTTTGATAGAATTCTCTATGGAACGCAGCATGATCTAAATACGACACAGTGATGAGTCTGAAGAGCTTCCCAAGTGGCGGAATCCCACGACCCCTGGATAGTCTCCCAGCAAGCACTAGGTGCTCAGGCAGTGGGACATGAGGGGAGAGGGAGTGGGTAAAATGCAACTTCCACCCATGAATGTAAGGGTTCTTAAAACAATCCCCCAACACAAGAGCGCTGAGTTATGGGCAAAAGTCAGACCCCAGGCGGGACTCGAACCCGCATCACCCACTCACGGGCGAGTGCGTTATCCATTACACGGCAGGGGATGATCTTTCTCGGCTACGCCCATATGATATGAAAGATTTCGTTTATGGATATTCAGCATGATATTTACAAAAAGACCGTACCTTCTTGAGAAGCGTGGACGCCTTTGTGTAAACCTTTGCAAGTGGCAGAAGTAAAGACGTATCTAACGGGAGTACAGCCAAATAGAGATGGATTCCACTGCGATATAACGTCTCATCGAACTCTGTGACTTGCTGAAAAGCGAAGAGAAATTCGTTTTAGGAAAAAACCTTGGAAGAACGGAAATTTTTTAGCGCAAGAGATACTGCGCCCTGACTGACCCTGTAAGTGACAAAGTGTGGTGGAGGCGTCGGTAATGCACACTCATTTAGCTGCTCAATTAATTTCAGCCGCAAATCCTGGTGCATGTATTTCAACGAGCACAGTTCCTTCAGTGTATCCACACATAATTGTTTGACCTGGAAACAAACTCCCCAATTATCAAAAAAAAACGAGAAATTTGAAAAGAAAAATATGAGGCTATAGAATGGGGGAGGGCACACAACTGCGTCACTAACAATAAGGCTGTCCGGGGAAGGGCGAATTGATAGTTTCGCAAAACAGATTTCCTCCTCTAAACGTGAGTTTTGACTGGGGAAGGGATCTGGCGACTGATCTCCGTCCCTAAGTTAGCTTCATCCGGACACCTGCACCCTTCTTTAGTGATCCCCACACCCTCAAAAGGCTCAGATGAGCAGAATAGCGCGACATAGCCTGTTCAAGTGTACCTGCAACTCTCTCAGCCCTGAAAAACTACGGGGAAGTATTTGTCAAAATCAGGCCAAGCGTGGTGGTTCTTGTTTGGACTTATGACGCTATATCGTTCCCTTGTTGCTGTCTATTATATACTCGATATCCTAGAGATGGAAAGGGCGTGGCCGCATACCACATCTGGACATGGTCTAGAATGATGCTTTTTCGCGGGATGTTCCAGTTGGAACGACTGTCATACTGTCTTTTTCTGAACAAGAGCATAACTACATACACTAGTCGCAAAACGAAAATAACTCACAAAAACCGCAGTCGCCGTCACGTTCAAATGAGGTACGCAGCCACGCCCGCTCCTCTCCGGGATATGGCCTATTACACCTACTTATTCCTCTCTCAGTCCTCAGCGATATTTAGCTTTCTGGAAGGCTATTTGACACTTCCAAACCCCTACAGGTTACCCAATACAAAAGTTTCGTTAATATGTAGTTATCCATTCCAGTTTATAATGTGTCCAATACAAAATTCTTGATAGTCGTCCCCCCACTCCCGTACGCGCAACCCGGGCCAACATAAAACACTCCGAAGCACAATCTGAAAGGGTACAAGTTGTGCTCCATCAAAGAGCACCAAAATCGAACAGAAGAACCCTACCTCGGGGCACTCGTAGAAGGAGAGTTTGAACAGCATATCAATCAGTTCTGGCCGTTGTCGATTCCGCGTCAACAGAAGCTCACGTAACGTTGTGATACCAAATGCTCCATACACCTGGATTGCAAAAATTTCTCCCAAAGACACAGCAACTTTCTACGGCAAAACTTCAAATGGCTTTCATCCCAAGTAATGTTGAATTTCGAATTCACAACAAAAAAAAAAACAGTGGACTACCTTATCGAGGCATGCCTTTTCCAAAATCCTCAGTGCATTCGTAGTAACAAGCGGGCAATCGAGTAGCAACTTGTGGAATAGCCTGAAATATAAGTGTAAACCTCGCAAAGCACAATAGAGAAGGAAACTGTAAGGAAAAGACACATACGCTTCTTTGTGTTGCCCTTTGTCCAACAGCTTTTGCAGGAGGCTGCACAATGTTGAGTCAAACTTAGCGAAAAGTTCTGATTTCGGTGCTCGACCGTAGTTAGCCATGTAGTCATGGTTGAAGCAGACAGTAAATCTGTAATAAAGAATTCGAACAATGCAAACCCTGTAAATCCACAGGAGGCGGTCAAGACTATCGCAATTCGGAGCGCTGTCGCGCGCGACGTCGTTAGCCTGCGAAGGGCTCCGTGTACAAACTCACCCGTGCGCGTATGCGGCGCGGTTTCTTCACGGCACGCGGCGACGGGCGGGCGAAGGGTGATCGCTTGCGCCTCCGCCACTGTGCTTCAATCAGAAGCCCTTTATGCCCCATTATGTGGAAGGAGGAGGAGAGAAAAGAGGATTGAACAAATAGTGAACGCTCATAGGTGAGTTAGTGGTAATGGGTATGTGACAAGAGGATCGTAATTTGCCGCGCTGCTGGGCGTCGCGTGCGACGTCCCGCCCGCAAAGGACGATGGTTTCAGGCAGTAGATGGCGACAACATGCAATTAAGGACCGAAAACAGTAATGAGTGTCTACGATGACGGGGTCTACATGAAGTCCGGTGCTCCATTCGACAGGTTAAAACGAGTTATGAAAACGCCGCGCCCATCGCCGCGCGTGGCGGTGCGGCGAATTACGATCCTCTTTACCGTCTCCCCTGGTAATGGTGAGCAGAGAATACAGAAAAGTCGAGAATCAGAGCGTATTATTTCAGTCAACAGCGGAACTGGCAGAATGATTCCCTTCGAATGGGACGTGACGTTATAGCGTTATAAGGTCACAACCAACTGTTGGCAATTTGCCAAACCTCAGCTTGAACTTTCGTGTAAAAGCTGCTTGCGTCGTTTTCACAATCGAAGGGAACTATGCCGCCAGTTCTGCCATTCACTGAAGTAATTCGTGATAGCCGACTTTTCTGTGATCTCCTACCACTAACTCACATATGCATCCGCTATCTGCTCAATTCCCTTCCTCACTCTACTTTCCACATAAAAGAGGCTGCTGGATTGGAGCACAGCGCCGGAGACGCGGGCCATCGCCTTTCGCTCCGCCCTGCCGCCGCGGCGCCGTGAAGAAACCGCGCCACATACGCGCATGGGTGAGTTTTTCCCTCCTCCCCTGCCGAAGGGAGCATTGGAAGACATATAGGCACCCATAAAGTTATGGCTATTTTTAGTTATACATTACATTTATACGCACGCGACGTCGCGGCACCTTACCTGCGCGGCGAAACACGATTGTCTTGTCACATATCCGTGCAAACCAGGTACGGCGACTAGACTATAACCTACCCTTGGTACTGAGAATATAGCTCCGTCACCCATAACAAAGCCAGATCGGTTCGATGTCGATGTTGAGTCGCATCAACAATGAACTCAATCAGTTCATTGTGCAGTTTTTCCGGTAATGGATAGAAACGTGTTGCAATACGTACAAGTACCACATGATGCATTGACATTGTACCACCTTGACGGGCTCTACCTGCAAAATTACTCGTGAAAGTGGAAAATGAAGCAGATCAGTTGGGGCACTTGGCTTGGGGGGGGGGGCACTACCTCTACAAACTTTGACAGGTATTACTTCATGGGTTCACAAATCCCCCACATGATTGCTCGACGTATATGATATATCAGAAGCAGCGGAACGTGCAAAATGCTTCCCCCTCCCCCCCCCCCCCGTCCTCGCGGCAAGCCGAACTAACTGCTCTGAGCAAATAGCAGCTAGAACAACTGCCTATGAATAGAGAGCTTTCTCAAGCCAAGGGGTGATCTGAATGGTTTAAACAGCATTATTGAAAACTTCTGCTGCAAAACGATGGAAGGACTTAAAGGCACATTTCACTCTCGAAAATTCCAAAAGAAATGAAGTTTTCGGATCCTGTTTGGGCGTAGTCCACCAGGAGATTCATTTCCCACTTGCGCTGCTTCCCACTGTAGCGTTGAGTCATCGTGTAGAGAACTGGGGAATCTTGTAGAGTCATGAAGTGATACAAGTCAAAGAAACTACTTGTTCACTGTTGTAAAGAATACTGCCAACTCTTGGAAAGCAATGAACACGACAATGGGAAGCAACGAGTGTGCAAAATGCCCCCCCCCTCAAGCCGAAAGGCCATGAGTCAAAGATAAAGCATGAAACTTACGCTCAGCCTTCATAATGGCATGGAAACAGCTTTCGAAGAGTCCTTCCATTTCATCTCTGGACAATTCCCTTGTATCAGTAAAAATGTTGAATTGTTGCTTAACTTTAGGAACAGCCGGGATCGGTGTCTAAAGGCAAAATTTCATCACAGAGTCCTGAGCTCGAGTCTAATTTAGTTCACTCACCGGCCCAGGTAAAGCCCCAAAAGGAACCTGTGGGGGCTTAGAGGTATGATGTCCTCCGACATGAACGGCTGGAGTGGGTGGTATGAACACACCGTCTTTTCTAGCTGACTGCCTCTCTGAAAACGCCGAAAAGGATTCATACATTCAGCATGAACTACCCATCCAATCTTGCAGGCAGTGGGCGCGATCCCTGTGGGAGGGCAGCCGACGTCATTGGTGGAAGGAATGAGTGGGCCAAACGCCTTCACACAGCCCTTCCATCAATGACGTTGGCAACGACCGCCCGCCTCCAGCAATTGTGTTCACTGCCTTTAAGGAGAGAAAGTTGTGAAAACCGAAACTCCTCAAGCACTTACCCATGAACTTCGCCAACTTCTCTTTGCGCATTTGTTCAGCACCTGGACCAAGTTCTTGGGCTGTAGCTTGGGTAGCCATACTACGAGCAAGGTGACGCCGATGTTGCTGAACAATCAACACTCCTCCCAACTTAGACAATGTCAAAAATATCAGAATTTACTGAGTTTCGGATCCTTTTCCCGCGAAAAATCCATCCAAACCCCGCTATCAAGCCAATAAAAAAAGCTATTCGAACCTCAGTTCCTGCGGTGGCAATCTGGGTAAAACTTGAAGCGAATGCTGCTGGCATTTCATCAGGCAACGTAACCTGAATAAGTGGGTGTAATGGAAGCCAGCTTAGCAATCCTGCGCCTCATCAACGGACGACGACAGCAGGACCTACCAGAGATATCAGCACAAGGTTAGCAACAAGTTTCGGATTCAGACGTTCATAGATGAACTGAGCGGTGATATCTATCGCTGACTGATGAGCCGAAGTCCGGTATCGGGGCTGCTCCTTCTGTAGCACCTGGCTCGTCATCTCCATAATCATCGTCATCTAGTGGTACTGAAAAGTACTATTGAAAAATTGACACAAACTGAACGAATTTCCAGAGTAGGCGCATTTAAAAGCA